TAATCACGTGTTATGACGTCCGATCTCACTAAAAACTGCATCAAACATTAATTCAATCTTTATGTGACTTATGTGCAAAAAAGATTTGCAATCGGATAAAACACGTTTATGCACCAGCGTTCCAAAAGTGGAAGGTAGCGGTCAAGCGTGAGGGGGTCCAGCCACCTTAACTGGATTTTTCATATAATGTGCTTGGATTATCCTAGATTCTAACAGTGTATTTTATTTTAAGATTTTTTAAATGTTTAGCCTATTACGGCCGAAAATCAAACAGTGCTATTTTTAGTTTTTGGCTTTTTTCTCCTCATCCCCAGGTACGATTTTTCTGAAATTTTCAGAATCTTATCATCTAGTACTATTGCAGCCTGTGTGTATAAATTTGGATGGAAAGTCTTGGGCAGAAAAAAAGTTATGACGCCGCTTGAAAATTCGATCCAAAATTTGAAGCATTCGAAACATCGCGCTGTAGAAACATTATCATTGAATGGATTGCCTTGAAGCTTTCACATATCTATTTCCAAGTATTGCAGATGAGCCTTACGAAAAATCAGAATCAAATCTTAAAAACTCATTGAATAAATGTTTTTTTACTAATTGTCGTTGTAAACCTCAAATATGAGAGTTTTGCTAAAAATCACATTTTCGCCGTTTTCTTCAAAACGGCTCCAAGTTTTTTCTTTAAACTTCCTACATCAATAGACCAGACCTTTATCTAGATCGTAGTGAAATTTCCACTGCTCGTCCTATCCAAATTTTGGAGAAAACATTTTTTAAAGTGAGGAGTACCTAAAGAGCTCGACCCGCTAGAAATAATTAATTCAATACCGGTCGACAACAACGCTCTCGGACATTCCACAACGTTAACTTCGGGACAGGTTCGACAGAATATCTGCATAAACACAATGACATTGAAGATGTCGTTATGCAAATATTCTCACGAACTTAACCGTGTGGAACGACCGAGAGTGTTGTTGTCGACCGATGAGGTGAGCTCTTTAGGTCCACCTCACTTTAAAAAATGTTTTCTCCAAAATTTGGATAGGACGAGCTGTAGAAATTTCACTACAATCTAGATAAAGCTCTGGTCTATTGATGTAGGTAGCTTAAAGAAAAAACTTGGAGCCGTTTTGAAGAAAACGGCGAAAATGCGATTTTTAGCAAAACTCTCATAATTGAGGTTTACAACGACAATTAGTAAAAAAACATTTATTCAATGAGTGTTTAAGATTTGATGCTGATTTTTCGTAAGGCTCATCTGCAACACTTGGAAATAGATATGTGAAAACTTCAAGGCAATCCATTCAATAGTAATGTTTCTAAAGCGCGATGTCTTATGTGCTTCAAATTTTGGATCGAATTTTCAAGCGGCGTCATAACTTTTTTTCTGCCCAAGACTTTCCATCCAACACTTTCCATCCAAATTTATACACAGGCTGCAATAGTACTTGGTGATAAAATTCTGAAAATTTCAGAAAAATCGTACCTGGGGATGAGGAGAAAAAAGCCAAAAACTAAAAATAGCACTGTTTGATTTTCGGTCGTAATAGGCTAAACATTTAAAAAATCTTAAAATAAAATACACTGTTAGAATCTAGGATAATCCAAGCACATTATATGAAAAATCCAGTTAAATTGACTCACTAGTTTTGCGAAGGGAGCGAGAATAAAATTGTCCAAAATTCGCTCTGAATTAATTTGGTTCCACCTTAAATGTGAATGCTGTCTCATAAACTGATTTTTTTTTTTGGAATAAAAAACAAACAAAACAACAACAACAACAACAACAACAACAAATTGACGGACAAGCTCAGAAAACTAACTTATTGTTAGATTATCGTTTTAAAATTGACCCACACCTCTTTCTTTCGTGTAATTTTTCATCTTTTTTTCCTTGTTTTTTTTGTTTTGTTTTTTTTTGTTTTTGTTTTTTGTTTTTTGTTGTTAGAGAACAAAGCTGAATTGACTGTTGAAGAGAAAGAAGAAAAAGAAAGCAGTCCGCAAGAAACGTCGGCAAACGAAAAGGACGATCGCGAAAAGGAACCGCAAGTAAATCAAATCAAAGGTATAGTTTTAAGAAAAGAGTGATTTTGTCTCAACAAAATATACTATTCTAATGCCAAACGCTTTTTAAAAAAGGTATTTAGTTATCAACTGTTTAGCTGTAAGATGACTAAGAATTTTACTCAGGCATGACCTAAAGAAAAAAGCAAAAGACGGGTAGATTTTTATTCCCAATAATGACCACGATGTTTCTACATTCTACATTTTCTACTTTCTTTGTTTATTAGATGATTCTCTAGACGACGATTATTGGGAAGACGAAGATAATCTCTTGTATGGTATGTCAGAAGAGGAGTCGGACTGGGAGGAGGAAGAGATGCCGAGCATCGCGGAACAGYTAGAGCCCGATATGGCTCTAAGATTGTACAGCCAATTCGGCGATGCACTAGATCTGATTTCTTAAATTTATCATTTATTTTGTATATTTTTTTTAAGGAACATATTGTATAAATAAACTAAAAATTCTTTTAATTTGTCTTTTTGATGTGTGTTGCTATAATAATAATAATTGGCAATGGCTATGCGTTCGCACGAAAAGATCGATCAAATGCAAGTAAAACAATTGGAGGAGGAATTATAGTTTATGTTCGTGATCATTTTCCATTCACCGTTAGAAATGATTTCATGAATAATGAGGATGAGATAATATGGATCGAAATTAAAAGATCAAAATGTAAACCAATACTACTAGCAACCGTCTACAGACCACCTGATACTAGATCAGCTGATTTCATTGAAAGTCTACAAAAATCCCTTGGCAATGTTATAACAAGCCGCAAGCCCAATTTTATTGCGTTTGGGAGCATTCAGATCTGCATGTTTAGAATATTTTTGGGGGATTAAAAGTGGGAGAAGTGTGAAGCCTTTGTCTGTTGGCCAGCAGGACGCCTAACTGGAAAGACTACTCAACACTGAAACTTCTTTCGTCAGCTCGTTAAAAGCTGTTACTTATGACACTCAAAGTTAAACTTGCTTTCCGGGTGCGTTCACACCTATCGTAATTTAGCTAGCTAAAGTTCATTTTATCTGTCATCACGTTTCAAGTAAAGCTAGTTAACGATTTGTCGACGTTCACATTATTAAAATGCACAAACGAGTTATCGAACAACAACAGTAATTTAATTCGTCAGTTTTGAACTTTTGGCGGGATTTGTGCCTGGATCAACATGGCCGAATCAGTCCGAGCTTTTTTACTTCTGTACTCCCTTTTTGCACCGATTTGGATATGTCGTTCTCTATTATCGCCGACTCAAACAGGGTTAGAAATTCCTGCTGCGTCTCTTGCGAGGCACCATGCGAACCAACAATGGGGCTGCGGGTATTTACCTGCGCTCCCAAGATGCAGTAGACGAATGCTTCTATGCTGCGGTTAATACGGGCAAGGTTCTTCAGACCTATGCCCTTCACGGCAAAGAACGGCGCCCATGGGTATTTCTGCAGACTTTCTATGAAATAAATTAGCGTTCCCTTCGACCCATCGCCTCCTAAGTCTGAGAATTCATAGGAGCTAGGATATCCCATGCCCGGCGTTTCAATGCTAGCACCCCCCAGCATAGGTGTAAGTTTCTCCTAAACCATGTGCTGCGCCTTCTTTGTTACGGAAGTCGGGGTTGGAGAGTTTGAACTCGTTCTTCAGTCGTTCCCACGCGACCTTGTCATATTTGTTATCCTTCGCTTTGAATATGCTGTCGCCTGGTAAAGGCGCGCCCAGCTCCTTCAATATGCGGCGAATGGTAAACGCAACGTGGAACCGTAAGAAGGGAATATGAAACATATCCACGGCTATGCCACATCCTTTAGTAGCAGCCCAGACTCCGAAGTTCAACTGCTGCGGCCAATACCGCATGTCGGGGCTCGATAGCCATTCTCTAGCCTCTTTCCCTGTCGTATGCTTTATCGCGATTTCTCTGAAGATATCTTTGACCTTTGTTTTGAATGTCGTAGGGCCTACGGGAATCTCCAAAGAAGTGACCATTTTCGCGAAGTCATTTGCGCCGCCTTTGTCGTCGTAAAATGGGTAATCCTCTGTCGTTATTAATAGATTCTTTGGGAAGTTGGGCTGCTGCTTATGTTCGACAGGCTGCTTCGGACTTAGGTCTGCATTGCTGTACATCCTAGAGCCTTGGTAATAAACCCCATCGGGTCTTCACTCGAACTTGCTAGCGTCTGCATGCGGAAACATCTTCCTAAACGCTCTCCAATTCCAGTAGTCCCTGTTGTCATGATGTGGCTGCTCCTCGATGTCATTCCCAAAAGCGTCGTACATTAGTATATAATGGACGTTACACCATCGGCACCTAAGATGTACCCAGATATTCCGAACTACCATACTACGACACCTAACGAATTAAACGCTGAAAACTTCAGGCTTAACAAAGCAAACTTAATCCTGGCTTACTTGGAAGGGCAAACAACACATTATGAAGAAGTTAGGAAGAAATACACCAGAGCCCGGAGTACGCTACATAAGATCGCAATAACAACCGGGTCTATGTCTGTTGCTTTAACGGGCAGCGGCGTTGCTACTTCTTTGACTGGCCCTGGAGTAGTCGTAGGCGTTCCTTTGGCCAGCGTTGGAGCAGTTTGTGGTATCGTCTCCGCTATTACCACGGGCATTATGAAACAGTTGTCTAGCAAAATATCAAAGCATGACACAACTATAGCTCTTTCCCGGGCAAAAGCTAACACCATCACTGATTTGGTATCCAAGGCTTTAAGAGACCGCAAGATAGACGACGTAGAATTCTCGCTTATCCTGGCAGAGGAAAAGAAGTATGAGGAACTAAAGTCGGGCAACAAAAAAACAATCGTAAGGGATCTTTCCGAGGAATCTCGAAGGAAGATCTACCAAGAAGCAAAGGAAGAGCTCCAAAGAAAGCTCGCTCAATAAACGTTTGCTTCGAAAGGAATCAAATGGGATTTCAATTCCATGTTACGTCAACGTCTGGGTATCCATGCTAATAGTGGATGTTCGGGGTCAATCTTCTGAAATATTTCGTAAATTGCGTCGGGGTAATAAGGAATATCCTTATCCATCCTACAAAACATCCACTCAGCTCTGCTCATATCAGAAACCTCCGGAATAGAATCACCGGTAATTTCAGACAAAAGGTAGGGAATACCTTTGTAATATTTCCCTAACTTCAATTTTTTCAATGTCTTCCTTAAGCTTTGTGGGGTTGGTTCTTTTAAGTCAAGCGCAATCATTTCCATTACTTCGTTGTCAAGGTAGACGGGGTGATAACCTCGGATGTGACTCATCCAGTCTCTAAAGTATTTTATTCTTTTGTATGGGGTCTTCTTGCGACCTCCATTGGCGTAATACTGCTCCTTAGTAGCACTTGGAACTGCTCTAAGGATATTCCTACCGCATTCGTGACATTGAGCAGATGTATCATCCTCTATTTGCATCTTCTTATAACAACAAACAAGCTTCCTTGGGGGCTGAGAGACGAATCGGGGCTGCAAGCAATCTACACAGAAGTTATGGAAATATTCTTTACATTCATGCATATATATCTTATAGATCCCGCAGGCATAGCAGCAGTAAGGGGCTCCTCGCCGCTGTCGACGGATCGCACAAGGGGGTCCCAGGCCCCAGTAATACCCGTAAAATTCCATGTTCAATGCCGACCAATCACGATTCCCCCTTACTGCTGCTTGAGACTGACGTTTGTGAGAATTTGATTTTTATATAAACTTGGATGTACCTTTATCTCTCTGATAAAGTCATCTTAATTAGTATTCTTTATGTATAAAGACGCATGGCATTATATGACAACTCCTTGAATACTAATGAAGAGGACTTTATTGAGTACAAAGGTCCAAGCACATTATGTGTGTGGTCACTAAAACACTATTTCAACATAGCCAGTAATTATGCAGTGGTCTACTTTGCCAAAAGGGCTCCTTAAAGTACAGTGTGAGTACTATAAATGGGACCACCTAGACAGCAAGAACCAATTAAATTGTAGGAAGAAAACAATACATACCAAGTTTGGGTAGTGGAGCCAATCAGAAAGCAGCTGTAAACAATAGAGAAAATTATGATGGTCATCTTGTTCAGTCTGGGTTTCTGATTGGCTTAAATACCAAAGGTTGGAATGCATTGTTTTCATTCAAGATTTTAAATTGGTTCTCTTGTCTTATTGGTCTAATTGACCCCTGTTACAGTAGTTGCACTGTAATGCTAAAGCATGACTGAAATAGGCAGTTAGCATGATGGCGTCATTTTACTACTACTACCAAAATGCTAAAGCATGACTTTTTTGACTGGTTTCATTTTTTATGAATACAAAAGAAAAAACTAATTTGGATGCATTTATATATTCTAACATAGCTAATAGTTTAACGTACTTGTTTGTCATACATCTGCTGGCAATAGCTTGATGCAATGTAGTATCATCACAATCTAATGATGACACATACCAATACTTGTCATCAAGCTGTTGAAAAAGTCAAAGAGATCTGTTTAGAAACCTGAATCATTGATAGATATTTGTTGAAATGATTATATTACTAGCAGGTACTAGTTAAGAGGTCAACACCCATACAGCAACAAGGTGAGTCCATATTGTTATGAAGGTCACAGGGTCATCACCAGGTTGATGTTCAGGCCAATACTCATAGACAACATTGTTATCAAGTGTTTTTGCTTCTTGTTTTAGTGCATTATACCCATCATTACCAGATTAATACTGAAGTATTCCATTATATATAGGTTAGAGTCGAGATGCAGTATGGTAATGAGGTTCAGATGTCAGGTTTCCATCTTGTTACAGATCACTGGACAGCCTTATGGAGTATTTCACGTGTAAGTTATACTTTTAAGACTGCAATACAAAGAAAGATAAATCATTAGGACATTAATATTTAGGATTTTCATGGTTCTAACGAGGGAGGGCAGGCTTTAAAATTTCACGAACCAAGTTTCGTGTAACGATGATGACCAAAGTTTCAAATTATGGGGGGGAAAATGAAAATATACCCAAATTAAGCTTACAAACTGTTTAAAAACTTTCTAAAATTACATATTTGTGGCAAATTTAATCGTATTTTGCCAGAAAAAGGGAAATTCTTAGAGTTCAAAGCCAACACGTGTCATGGCGGTCAATCGAACTTCCGAAATCTTTAAACTGGTTAAAAATACGGGAAAACGCCAGAATAACGCAGAAAAACACAATAATTCTTACCTTTCATAGTTCTCGTGTCCTTATCTCTCTGTTAGGTGAAGCACGAGCTAATAAAATTTTTTTGTTCTTGTAAAAGCTCCTCTTTATATTTCCACAGATTGACACACGTCGAACCGCGAAGGGAGCAAGATTTGAAATGAACCAAATCCACACCAAGGGACTGGAACTAGCATTTTACACAGGGATCCCACAAAGATCTTGATTTTTTGCCGAAAATGCGACGGTTTTTGAGCAATATTTTTGGCCCAAAACGTGGAACATCACCAGAAAAGGCTATATTCGTGCCCTACGGAGGATAAAAACCCGAAAAAACGCTTATTTTAGGGGAAAAAACCCAATGTGTTAATTAGTCACGTGACCAGTCACGTGACTTTTAATTTTGCGTTTAATAAGATGTGATTTTTAATTTTTCACAACAAAAAAAAAATCGTGGGTTTGAAATAATCCTTTCTTTTAAATTCATTAGATCACGCAGTTGATAATAAAAGAACATTGAACTTTTATTGTGTGACATTTATTGTCTGACCCATAGAAATAAAAAATAAAAGAAATAAAACAACAGCTGAAAAATATCCTTTAATGTCTAGACTCCACCCGACCAAAAATAAAACACACCCAGAGACAAAGAGGAACAAACAAAGATTTCAAGACGCATAAAGCGCCAACATTTTTTTATTACACTTCAAGTTATTTATCAACTTTATTAACTCATGCGGCTTCGCCACTTTGCGCGCCTGATTTCAGTTTAAGTTATACTTTCACACATTGAAACTTTTAGCTCAAACTTGCTCACACTAGCTTTACTCGTGCCGGCAAACGAAACTTCGCGAAGATATTTTAGAACGAGATTGTGTCGTGTTCCAATCCCGTGAATCTTGTCTCTTAACGACGTCGAACACAAGTTTTAGCCAAAAGTTTCAGCGCGCAAAACAGGAGCTTTACTTCTTGAATCAAAACAGCACAGACAAACCGTTTGATGCTAGTAAATTATGCGCATTAATTTTTTCTCCTTTATTTCAGTTTGAATAAGTGTTTTCAAGCGTAGAATAAAACATTTACCTGAGAGAATAACACGTGCTTACACAACGCCCAAAGTAATCAAATACAATGACGTCATATTTGTGTGAATACAGTAGAAACCCGTGGACGTTTTGTTTCTGTTTTGGAGAAAAAAGGGACCGTGCGTTTTAGTCACGTCGTTCCCTCGATCATCATTTTTTTCTTTCATTGAATCAGCATTCTTTCTCACGACAAGAAAAGAAGCAAGCCTCAAAGAATCTAGCACTTTATAAATCAATGCCTTCATTGTTCATTTGTCAATCCTTTGAGTATTATTTCTTTGTTTCTTGGTGACGGTCAGGGTGTTAATGGTATTGATTGCTCACGATTATCCTGAAAACGACCAGAACAGTAAAATACAAAAGAAGTCACAGCCTTTATCATATCGGAATTCGTGATATTTCTTTTACTTTGTCCTGCAAGACTCACATTCAAGGCTCGAGTCTTTAATCACGACTTGAGCATGGGTGTGTGATTTGGGGGGAGGGGGGGGGGTTATAGTGACGACTGAGATTTTGTATTTTTCAAAAAGTAGTTTAATAAAATTCACTTGATTTTGAATCTTTTACAGGCGCTACATATATAAAATTCAATCTCTTTTATTATCCTATTCTCCTCACTCTGTTTACTTTTTATCTATAATTCTCATAGTTTTGTTTTTGTCACCTTTATCAATTTTTTTTCTTTTCTCCTGTTCTCTTCTCTACTGCTCTGTTCTGCTCTACTCTGCTCTTTAGCTTTTTTCATATTTTTCTATTCTTAATTTTTTTCTTTTTCTTTTTTTTCATTTCAAAACCTAAGCGCCTCTTGTGTCCAACTTTTGTTGTTTGTCTTCACGTTTTGCTAACTCCTTTCTCCTTTCTCTATCTCTGTTTACAATTTTCTTCTCTTGTCTTGAATCCTGTTATCGTTTATTCTGTCATTCTTCATGCCCATCAGCTGTTGAGAGTGATGAACAAAGCAACATAAACCTATTTCTTTGTATCATGATTCACATGATTGAATATATTTAATAACCAAAACAGAACAGGGAACGAGGCATAGGAAACAGAAATATCGAGGACCTTCCATAACAGACAGCGGTAGAGGTGAGGAAGGGGGGGTTTTAACACTGTTAATGTGCTGCCTCTTACCTTTCATTAGCAACGTCAATAGCCATACACAATATGGTCCTCTGTGCTTCAAGTGTTTATCCAATGAGGATCTAAAAAAAAAAGCAACTTCTTTCAAGTCT